CCTCTCTGTTTGAGGTAGACAGTAAAGAAAAGTAAACCCAACCAAAACATTCTATAGGTATAACCAGTGTGAGATACTTATGCAGTGGTAGGTAGTTTGTTGTTTCAGTGACTGTTTATTGCTTTTTAAAAAAAAAATGCTTGCTTCTTTCCTACTTCTTCAATGTGCGTGTCTATGTGTGTATATATATATATGTATGTATGTATATATATATATGTATTCCAGATAGTCCAAATACTAATCTACATAAATTTGTGTGAAAAGGATTAACTTTCATTAAGAAAAACAGATGTAGGGCTGGAGATTTAAGAATGCTTTGCATCAACACAACAGAAGTGCATTAGCTCTGTCTGTTATCACAGACACAGTGATTTGAAATACAAGAGCACAACCCGACAGAGCTTTTTGAGTCTGAACTCTACCCTGCTGGTAGGCATGCTTCTCTCATGTGATGACAAAATACTTGGGCTCCTGGACTCTCTTACTGAGAACTTGGGAAGGAGATACTCGTCACTTGTGCATAGTGACTTGCTTGACTACCTGGACAGGCTTAACCACTTATTGGAGGATTCTCCCATTGTTCCAGGACTGTTAATGCAGTGGAGGTCTGACATAAACTTGATTAGTGTGTATATTCTGGGAAGTGAAACAGGTGAGCCATGAATTTGGAGGGCTGAATTTGGATCAAGCCTTATTTAAAGTGGGAAAAATCGCATCATGTGCTCTGAAACGAGAGGCAAACTCAAGCAGGCAGGGTACTCAGAGGTGGATGGCTACCTCAGCAGAGTAGGGTAGATGGGCCCTGTGGCATAAAGCTTCATACTTAGAGAGCTGACCTGTTTCTTTCAGTGTCCTATTGCTTAACCAGTTCTTGTGATCAGAACGTAAGGAAACTTCCCTTCTGCTACACCTTTTTCTCCTAAAATACCACCATCTTTGTTATGGAAACCTGAGAATGACTGTCACTAGCTCTAGGTACTGTCTGTAAGACTTGTTGGTTTGAAAAAAAGCTGATTTTGAATGAAGGTGTCAGCCAGTGCTATTATCCAAGTGCTGTAATGAATAATTGCAGCACTAAACTCCAAGGTCTGTATAAATTAATACAGATACTTCAGCTTCCAGATTGATTTTTTTTTTTTCATCTTGCTTTTTCGAGCTACTCTACATAGACTGCTGTAAAATCCTTTTTTCATCTCTCCCTCTGGATCTGTGGCATCAAATCAAAAAGCATTTCTCATCTTTAAACAGGCATAGGTGAAGGGAGTACATGGAAAAGGTTGGGATGTTGGTCAGCAATAGCATGTTGATTCTGAAATGATGTATCAAGTAGCTTTTTATTAAATTATTTCTTAAAATTCTGTGATCCATGGTCCTGTTGGTCAAGTCACTGCTGAAATGGACCATGTGATCAGAGGGGAGAGATCCACTAACAGAAGAGGGAAGAGCATAACTTTGGATAGCTATCTGATGCTTAAAATAACCTAATGCTTGAGTCAAACTGTGTTGGAGAAATTCTAGTAATTGGATGTCTCTTTCTGCCTACAAGTCTCAGGTTGGTAAGATCAGTGTTGATCTTATATTGTGACTTAGGTACGGTTCTGTAAGCATCCTTTTAGTATTTCTCCATGTTTTTTATGAATTGGCATAAAGTCTCATGCTTGAAAAGGTAAGAACCTTTGGAAAGAATGTCTTCTCTGGTCTTTTCCAAATGGAAAAGTTTTAATCTAACCTAGACATTAAATATTTATAAAATGGATGATTTATAAGCAGTGGTGTTGCAGCCCTTCAGGCTTAAGCTGGTAAGAGTAGCCATGATTTGTTACAAAACTATTGAACATTTGGTCTTCTGCGTTCTTAATGTGGTTACTAGTTTCACCGCTGTTAGAGGATGCAGTCTGGGAAGAGGGGAGGAGGGATAGTAACGCAAATTGGTTGTTTGGCCTGTGGGGGCAGTTACCATTGTGAATTCTGACTCAGCCCATCCTGTGTGTGTCTCTCTGTAAAATATTGCGTACTTAAAAACTGAACCCCTAAAACTACTTTTCCTTTTTTACACTGTGGTAGCTGAGTGACTTAATACGTGCTGTAAGTTGGGCTCGTGTAACACCTTTGCCTGCGAGCTCTTGCTCACAAAGGTGTTTCTCTCCCTTGCTGTGTCTGATCAGGTGTATGTGAATTACCACTGTAGGAAAAAAGTTACCTTTCTGTGCGGTGACATTCATTAACAAAAACATTTAAGTTTATCTCGTTTTCTCTTACTACTAAGTATTTTTGTTACCTCTGCAGTCTCGCAAGCCGCGTGCGTACTAGCTTAGCTGGGTACAGAACAGGTTTGTCTTCAGAGTTCACAACAGCTGCGACAAGTGTAGTACTCTGTGAGCAAATTGTAAGAGTGTGTGTTTGTTAGCACTTTAAAGACCTGGTCATGTATGGAAACCCAGACAGTTTAATCCGTAAAACACACGAAGTTTGGAATAGGTCACTCATCTTCTTGGAATCATTTCTCTCACCTGTCTCGACGCAAATCGAGGCTTTTCAATAGCATCTGTTCATAGAACAGAACTCATTAAGTTTAGTGCCTTCTCATGGGATGACTAATTTTTAACTCTTGGGTGTTTTTTGTTTGTTTTGTTGAGCACCTGTTTTTATTTCCTTGTTTAATTGAGAACAATTAGTGATGAGGGTGTGATTATTTCGTGGAGTGTCACTTCAGGATTTAAATGGTAGTTTGTTGTAGTTAAAGGGTCAGTGCTGGTGGGAATTTTCATTCTATCTGAATTATGAAATATCTGTGTATTATCAAGTTGATGTGTAGCTCTGTCCCTTCACAAATATAAAGCAACCTGGTCATATTCTGTAGTTAGACTTGCAGAATAATGATAGGGCAAGGGGAGAACAAGTGTTGCATTGTTGTTGAATCGTCTTTTCTGTTTAGCTTTTTCTGCTTTAGACTTTTTAGAGATAGCTGGAGATGAGGGAACTATTTTGTACTAGCATAGTTAATGCTAGTATGAAAATACCCAATATAAACTAGTTATTCAAGTGGAATAAACCTAGTAGAATTATTTTATTTCAGATATTTTCCTAGTGGTAATGTATATAAGGAGAAAAATAAGTGTTTTCTTGGTTCTGTTTGTGTTTGTTTTTTTTTTTAGGAGGTTGAAACTGAGGTTTTGATGTTATTCTTCACACTAAAAATTATCACATTTTCTTAGGACATACTTGTAATGAAACCCATGCTGATGAAGTCAGTACAGCAAAAAACAATGTTCAGAGAAGAAAAACATATTTAGTCTGCTTAAAACTTCATCTTAATTTGACTTTCAAGTTTTTCAGTTACATTTGAATGACTTAAAATGTTCATTAAGTTTAATTTATGTGAAGCACGTTAAGTTTCTATTCCTTCAGTGCCGAAGATGTTATGTGATATTTAAAAGGAAATAGATCCTTGTTAATGGGTTTACTTAATTAACACCAAAGTTATGCAAAAAATCAGCATATATTTTAAATATCTTAATACCACATTATTTTCTATAGAACTTTAAGTACTGAATATAAGGCTAGGAATCCTTGCTAATTAAAAAGAAATCATTTTAAAATATATGCAATTTGCTTATTCTCCTTACCAATGAAACAATAATTAGTAAAAACTTACCTTTGTGTAGTGTGATAAATCAAGTAATTTATCTTATTGGTTTGGGATGAAGAACTTCAGATGGTATTTGAGTTACTGATATTTCAACAGAGGGCACTCAAGTGCTTTGAGGTAACACCAAATCACTGTATTTTTAAAAGTAGTTGGAATAAACTGGAACTGAAGATAACAAATTTCGTGGCCTAAAATGTATAAATATAATTTGATAGTACTTAGGAAAATTGGTCATTGTCATACTAAAATTTTCATGTCATGTTCCTCCTAGTTTTCTAAATTTGCCTTGTTTCTTTGGATATTTTACAGTATGTTCAGGCAGTGAACATTGCTTTGAACTAATTCTAATAGGTGCATATTACTGTGACTTTCTAGCTGAGTTGCTATTAGTCTGTTAAGATTGAACAGTTGTAATAATGCATCAGAATTTAATAAAGATCTTTTTTCCAGCTAAAAAGGCAGTAGAAGATTCGGAAGAAAAGAAAACAGTTCAGTCAAAGAAAAAGATTAAAGAATTAAGAATTTTGGATGGAAAAACCGCACAAAATTTATGTAAGTGATGTCAAATGCATTGGGTGAATATTTAATTAGCATGTACACACACGAGTGTTCTTAAAAGGTTTTTTTGTTTATATGTGCAATATTTTTCTTCTGAAAACTGGCTAATGTGAACATAAGTCTTAAGTTCAGAAATGTTTTACATACATGTGATTTAAATTCACTATACAACTCGAAAAAACTTAAAAAGTGACATGGAAAAACATTGTAGACTTAAATGTTAATGAAGTATATTTTTTTGGTAACAAAAATTTTATTCTTTCATTAATTACTGTAGACTGGAAGTATAATTAAATGATAAGCACTGCTTCAGGGAAGGGCACAGCATTGGTAGGTTTTGCGGGTTGTGCTCAAGAGGCTATCCCTAATGGTTCTTTATGGTCAGACTAATGGAGAAATAGAGCTTGATGGGGTTAGACTTCTTAAGACATAAATATTAAGGAATAGGATAAGTTAGGTGCAAGTACTACTACTACAAATTGTAAGGAAAACAGCCCCACCTCTTTTTCAAAGCTGCTGCTTCTTATTTTACTTATGGAGTGCAATCAGTTATTAAGAGTAGTAGATTCTTTGATTTGAATTAGAAACACCATAAAATGTCACTAATCCGTCTTTGCCCCTGGCAAATGGAGTGTGTGAAACCAAACCTGTGCATCGTTTTTTACCACGTCCATGAGCACGTTTTCTTAAGTAGAAATTGCACCATGCAGAACTGATATAAAACTTAAGTTTTGAAAATATGGATATAGGAAAATTAGCCATAGTAGTCAGGTTGAATATATAGCACTTCATTAAAATGGTATGCTAATCCATCTGCATTACGAATACCTTGTAGTTTATTGAATGGGGCTCTGTTGAGATGTTACAACATCCTGAAATCAAATTGCTTTGAGAACTCCCATGTTTGAAGGGTATAAAATATACATAGTCTCTTGTATAAGTTTAGTTACCCTAAAAAGTGATGGAGTTAAGAATGGTTTTTTTTGGCATGGCTTTTTTTTTTTTTTAGAATGTCATGTAAATATGACTCAACCAACTGTAAATGCATTGCAGTTATTCGTACATGGTTATGAAAACAAAAAATAATAGCTAGAGTCTTCTAGTGGCTGAATAAGTCTGGTAAAGTAGTAATGCAGATCTGTTGCCATTCATAAAAATAGACCTTTATTGCTGGAGATGAGTGACACTACTAGGGAGCAACTGAGGCTGATAAAACAGTTAAAACTGTTGTCATAGTCATTTCTTGGAAGTAAAATTCGTAAGTCAAACTGCGATAGTGTGCCTCATCTACTGCTTGTTTTATATAGAAAAATTCTTCATTGTGGATCACCTTAATTTGGGCAACCTGGTGTAGTGGAGGGTTTCCCTGCCCATGGCAGGGGGGTTGGAACTAGATGATCTTGAGGTCCCTTCCAACTCTAACCATTCTATGATTCTATGAAGATATGATTTTTGAGTTGCTAGAAATTGTTTGCCTTCTTACGTCAATCTTTTTGATTCTAATTATTTGTTACTGAATTTCAGCAATATTTTTGGGTTCTTTCCGTTTGCCTTATGAAGAAATAAAAAATATAATTTTAGAAGTTGATGAAGAGAAGCTGAGTGAATCCTTGATTCAGGTACGTGAAAATGTTTCTGGTTTTGTTCACAGATTGTTTTCCACATAAAAATGCTGTAAAGGTATAAGGATTCAAAAGTAATCAGAAGATTCTGGGTATCAGCTACAAATTCATCAGTTGTGTTTACTGTTTTGTTTATTTCACTTCTGCTTTTGAATATGGTCGATTATAACAGTAAAATGGTCTTTAAAGACACTATTAACAAAAGTACTTTTGAATCTCTAACTTTACGAAGTTTCTCTTTCAGAAATAAATCTCTGATAACTCTATAGTTTTACAGTTTCAAAGACAAGCGTTTACCAGATTTAGGCTGGTGGATAATGAAGTTTCATCAGTCGTCTTGTGGAAACAGCTCTGCTTGTCACTAGTGATAGATGAAACTACTTGAATGTTTCAGGATACTGCTACAACCAAAAACCATCTGTAAATCAAACCTGCTCTCAAGCTGGTTTGGTCTTATTTTAAGCCCCAAATCTCTCAACTGGAGAGAAGAAAGTATGGAATACAGCTTCTTTACATCCCTCTCTGATTTTCTCACAGTAGGAGGAGAGCAAGTGCGTACAGTGCCTCTCCTGATCTCTGGGGCACGACAGACTGCAGCAGAGAAACATGTAAATTTGAAATGGTATGCAGGTGTGGCACACCAGCGAGACTGATGTTGAACTGGTTTATTTTAATGTCACACACAGATTTATTCTAGCTAGCATACTCAACTTCTACTTATTCTTTTGTCCTTCTCTGTCTCCTACTTACACTCCTGTCCCCCCAAGGCTTTCTAAATTAATTTCTTCTCCCTTTCTTGAACCTGGAAAATGGTTATTCCAGGGACACTGGGTTAAACTGAGTTCCTAGTCTTTTCACAGTTAGTTATGAAATTCATAACTACTTCAAAATTTAACATATTTTTTAACAGAATTACTATGTTGCAAAACATACAGTGAAAATAGAATTAAATTTCTTAAACTGATTTTCCCTGTCCTTTGCAGGTTTTCTTGTCTCATCAAGGCCCTCCTATGTTTCTTGAATTTTGCTTTCTTGAGGTTCTAAAGGAAAAGCTGCTGTTTTCTTATAGACCTCAAACTGTTGTACTCACAGCAGTACATGCAGTTATATTTTCTCCTAGTGTCATATTCTGGGACTTGTACCACCTAACCTAATGTGCTTGAAAATAGAGATTCAGTATCCAAAGTTCTCATGCATATTTATTTTGGGATAATACTTGATATGCATATCTAATTTGGGATAATTCTTGATTATTTTGGGTGGGGGCGGGGCTTGCTATGGCATAATGGTTTTGGAGGTTCCCATTTGATGGGAAACTATTTGCAATCTTTATTTGATGTGTTTCATTATGGTGTCCTGCTGCATGCTGTGTCGACATGAAATTGATTGGTTTTGGATATGGACTCTAAAATTAAATAAAATGCATGTCTAACATATATTCACATAATGGCCAAAGATAGTATTTTTAGTAGATTATGTCATCTTAGAAAAAGCTTATGCACATGATACATAGTATTTGGAATTAAGAAGCCTTAAGTTTATGTTTACTGATCAGGCGTATCAGATGATTTGATTGAGAAGCCTACAGGATTAGTAAAGTAAAAAAATCAGCGGGGAGAAGAAACCCCACCTTGAATATCTCAAATGCAGAATAGTTTCATATTGGTTATCTCTACAAATGTAGAGTTATCTTGAGACCTGGATTATCAGAGTAGGATGTAATATGTTACGCTGAAGTGTAAGGTCATGATCTGGCATGCTAATTGTAAAATGTTGGTATCTAATGTTGTAATGGTTGCTTATCAGTTGGAAATGATTGAGGAGAAGTTAATAGTGAGTCTATGCTCAGCAGGACAGGTGTAGCTAGCACTGGGTGTAGCTCTATGTGGAGGGCTCACCCTGGCCAGCAGCTAAACTCTCACCTGGTCCTAACCCCTTGCCTGGCTGGTGCGTCGGCGGGGGGTGCAGGTTGCCCAGTCCTGGCCTGCTAGAGGGACGAGAAGCAGAGGTGGCCTCAAAGCTGCACAAACTCTGTTCAGTAGTAGCTAAAACATGGGTGTGTTGTCACCACTGTTTTGCTCATGAGTCAAAACAGGACCGTATGGGCTGCTAGGAATAAAATTAACTTCATCCAAGCCAGACCCCGTATACTGCAAAAAAGGCAAATGTGATTGCGAGGTGTATCAGGTCAAGTATTCCCAGTAGAGAGGATAATTAATATGCATTTTGAATAATGCTCTTATAAGACCTTATCTAAAATATTCGTTACATTTCTCAAAAATGAATTTAAAATAGAGAAGCTGAACTTAAAAACTACTTACGGTGATTGAGGGATAGAGAAACAGTCTGTAGAAGGAAGCCAGAGAATGTTGGCTTGATTAGATTAGCAATATAAATAGCTGAGAGGGGAGATGACTACGTAAAAGTGATATGCATAAGCATTGGAGAGAAAAATGAAGTTGCATAAGTAAAAGGCAATGTTAGTACCAGAATAAATGTATATGAATTCACCACAAATGCAACTAGCTCAAAACTCAGCTGCCTGTAATCCTCAAAAAACTGAGGGTTTGGGGACTGATGCATTTCCGAAGGGAGTGGTGTGGCAGAGTTGCTTCTAATAGCAGGGAGATTTATCTGATAACCTGGAGGAGATTTCTTCTGTGTTTTACAGATATTCTTAGAAATGTACTAAGGTAAATGGACCATACCATCTATTTCATGTTCTGTCTATTCTGGTGTATTTTTATTCTAATCTTTCAACAGAGTTATTAACTAATTTACCAGTTTAACAGTTTTCAATACTACTGATTGGAAAAATTTTAGAAAGCAAAACTTTCTTTCATGCTTAGCAAAACTCATACTTTGGAAAAATGCAGATGTAGAAACTGCTTTTGTTCTAAGTATCAAAGTGGTGAAAGCTAAACGAGTATAGCATAACTGAGCATATAGAAAGTGCTTACCCATTTTTCTCTTTAATACTTGGGGACTCACTGTGTTTATGTAGAAGAAAAACTGATTTCCATGTGAAGGCATATTTTTTGCTTAGTTGCTTGGTACAGGAATCATCGCACTGTGGAGTTGGGTAAATCTCATGTTGATTTTTCAGAAGTTATTAATAACACAAGTGCACTACTTTGGCTTCTCTAATGCATGTTAAGTGTCTATAGATTATCCAACACAGCGTACAAAACCAGGTTGCCTCATTTTATTATGTGGTTAGGCAATTACCCCGCCAAAAATCCTCCTAAGGGCTGCAGTGGGAAAGCAGGAGGGACACTGTGTCCGCCTGGATCTGGAGATATCTCTGCCTCTTGTCTGTAGGTAAATGTCTCCAGTTCAGTCCCTTTGATTTCTTGTGTGGTAGTGCTTGCCTGTAACTCAGTGCCCTTTGAAATTCCACAGAATCACACTTGCTTCCAAGCTGTGACAGTGTTTTGGATCCCATATCCAGTATCCAAAATATTACATTATTTTTATTTCTTAATTTTTCCTGTAAGTCTTTTATGTGAACAAAGGCAGTTTGTGGAGCTGGGAAATGAAGTAAAGGGGCACCCTCTGTGTGGACAGCCATAATGTAATCATATCAGCTAATAGTATTTTATTTCACTTCGTTTTTTTATGAACCTTTTTGAACAAAGAAGGCCTTTTGACTCTTGCTTGCTTGAACCTAAATGTATACTTTTTTCCCTTGAAGAATTGCATTACTGTTTTGTTTTCAATTAACATATGTATCAAAATTTAAACACAACCTAAACTTTTACTGAGTGTCTGTTAAAACAAAGTATTCATCAGCTTTCATATAAATATTTAATACATGTAGCATATCTGTATTTTGAGATGTTAAGATTGTATAATAAATTGTATCATTTTCTCTGGGGACATGGATAAAATTTCGGGCAAGTTCTACTTTCTACTGAGTTACAGTGTATTTGCCATCCAGAGGATCTGTACAGTTTTGAGATGTTGCTTTTTTTTGTGTAAGGTGTTTTTAAGTGACATTTGTGTACAGCTGTTTTGAATAATGTCTGAAGATCTTATTTATTTTTTTAGGTAGTTGTGTCTTACTTTACACAGACCAGTTATTTCTTGATTAAGATTTAATGACCAATATGCAATCATGATGGCAAAAAACCATTGTATATAGAATATAATTGTTCAGGCTGTGACAGCGTCAAAAAGTTTTTTGTCTAACTTTTTAATGCTGAGAAGGCATTCTTCAAATTAAGAGATTGTAATGGAGGTGCTGATGTCTGTATTAAATAATTACTGGCTTGATTTGATGTTTATATAGTGTTAAAGCTACGTAAATAAGCTTCCCATAATTTCCTCATGCCTTCCCATGTTGTGGTGTTTTAAGTGTGTTATTTTAAGATCTGAGCTAGTTTAATATAACAAATTTAATATAATGCCTTGTTTGTTTTAGAATCTAGTGAAGAATCTTCCTGAGCAGAAAGAACTCAATGCCTTAGCCGAATTAAAGGATGAATATAACGATCTTGCTGAGTCAGAACAGTTTGGAGTTGTGGTATGTATTAGTGCAATAATTAACTGGGGAGTTCTGTTTTGTCAAGTAGATTAAAAAGAAAAAATTTAGGTTTACATTATTTTGGTTAATGCTTTTGCAAGTTCTGCAGTAGGAAAAAGTTACCATCTATTTATTGATGAGAAATAATCTAAAAATCTCTGTGGATACTTATTAGGTATTTTTCTGGAAGGAATTATGGTGTGCAGTGTAGAGCAACAGGCACTTCTGTGCTAGACCAAATCTTAAGTCTGACTGTCTTGTCTTCTATGTAAGTCTTGTATGTTTATTAAACAGTTACGAAGAGCCCTCTAGGTTCAAGGAGTTAAACTTCTAAGAGTTCATAACAGTCATTAACTCAATGGCATTGAGAACTTCAATAAATTTATTCTGCTGTACTGAGAACTGTACACAGCTGAGTTAATATGCCCATAAAATCTCATGTCTTGCTTTACCCTTTGGTTAAAAAAAACTAAATAAAAATGTATGTGTGTGCGTATATATATAATGTATACGTGTGTGCGTGTGTATATACACATATAGATGTGTATGTATATCTAAAAAAATCTGTTCAAAAGCACTGGAGGAATACTTTGTTCCTTCTTTGTCTTGTGACACACACTTTTAAAGTGACTTTGTGATGAAATCTTAGTAGCACTTCCAGCCCTACAATAAGATGTTTTTGAAAGGGCAGGGAGTGAAGGATACCAGGGAGTGACTGATTTACCAAATGAATGTTTCCTTATTTCCCTCCCGTGTAAATTATGCCAGAAAAGCGGGAAATCAGATTTTGTGCAAGGAGAATTTCTGACCTGTGTCTAAGGAATTACAGAATGGAAGCAAGCAAGTTGAAGGCACTTGGACAAATGGAGACTATGGATTCTGTTCAGTTAACTATGTAAAATAAAGCAAAGAAATTCAGAAAATTGTGCATAATGACCTAGATTTAAAAGACTCTATAGGCATTCCTCCATTTTACTGCTATAATTTCCTTAATGTTCCACTCTTGATCTTTGTAACTTGAATCCTTTCTCGACTCGATCCCTTCTTCTGCTGCACATTTCCCTTTTATAAACATCATGCCTACCTTGTCTCTTCTGTTTTATGTTTTCCTCTCCTATTTAGTTTTACTGCATTGCTTTTATATAAAGATATTTCTGGATGAGTATATGATTTATCTGCATCCTCTCATTATGCTGCTCGATGATGGGTAGTAGTAAATTACCCTTCTGCTGAGGAAAGCTGTGACAGTGGAACTGCATTCAATATTCAGCCACCCTTGTGGTCAACAGTGTTTTCTTTATATACAGTCAAAATTATCTGAGTACAGTCTTGTATTTTACTTCTTGTCTTATCACCTTGCACCTTCAAGAATCCTCTGGTTCCATCTTCTCTGTACTTTCCCTTGAGGTGGAAACACTTAACAGAGTTAAGAGCAGCTATTCAGAACAGAACAGGTCTTGCGGATTAGCCCTGGTGTCGGCAGCTAAGCACCGCACAGATGCGTACTCGCTTCCCTCTCCCATCCCCAATGGGATGGCTGAAGAAGGGAAGAGTGAAAGTGAGGAAACCCATGGGTTGAGAGTAAAAATAGTTTAAGAAGTGAAGGACAAGTGAAAGAAAAAAGAGAGAAAACAAACACCAAGAAATAAACCAGACATACTCACTGTTTCTCATGTGTAGAGTTGATGTAGAGCCAGTTCCCAAGCAAAAGATGGCTAAACCCCTCTTCCACGTTTTGTTACTGAGCATTACCTTGTATGGGATGTCTCTTTGCTTAGTTTGCTTCATCTTTGAATTTGGTAAGTGAAAGAATGTAATGGATACTCTAGTTTACCTGTTTGTATATGAATTGGCTGCACAATGAGTATAAATGATAGTGCAAAAACTAAGTTTTCTGTCATCAACTGTCAAGTATGGAGATACTACAAAACTTGAGTTTATGAGAACACTTGGAGAATGTTTTGGTTCTCCAAGTTCTGTAATTTGGAAGATTATTTACCTCTGATTCAGAAGACCACAGATTAGAAGGAATGGTTCTTTTGCTTTGTCTTATGTACTGATAAAACAAGATGCATTTAATTAAGTTGCCAATGTGCAAGTAGTGTGTATTAAGTATGTGTAGCTAGTAAGTGTTTTAAGTACACTTTTTACCAGAGTTTGAATTCAGGTCAATTTATGTTTTACTGATAGATATCTGAAAACCACATGAACTGAGAAGAATAGCCTTGGGGTTTTTTTGCTGATAATGGATAGTTTGGTTTTGGTTTTGTTTTGTTGTTGGGTTTTTTCTTTTTGGTTGGTTGGTGGTTTTTTGTTGGTTTTGGTTTTGGTTTTCCAGTTGTCTATCAGTTAGGTCTAGTACTTACTCTTATTTCCTCATTCTTTTTAATGTAGTAGTATGCTTTGTTTCCTTCTTGTAATCTTTCATTCTAATTCTGCTGGCAGTTTCTTTCCCAGAAAATTATACAAGTGTAAATGAAAGACATCTCTATCATCTCTATTTGTTGTTGTACATACCTGTGAATCATGCACTTATCTGACTTACGATGACTACTGGGTTGAAACTAAATGGTCTTTGTTTTTTCACTCAATTATATTGGAAAAGTCATAAAAGCATCCCTATTTTCTGACAGTACCAATGTAGTCATGATCACTTGTTCGTTCGTTCTTTTGAGGAATGACCGACTGCAAAAAGTTGAGAAGGAATTTTAAAGTATTTAATGGAATGTTAATTAGAAAAAACTGCTTAATCAAACATTGCCAAATATGAAGGGACTAAGTTTCCTGAAGCTTGTTTGCTTATTCAACTTTACCATCTGCTTTAATAGAAAACATTACATTTCCTTATGGTTAGTGATTCTGTCTTATTTTTAGAGTCCTCTAACTACATTTATACTACCGAAGTGCTGGTTTTGTTTCCAATTTTGATTTAATTGAACAGTCCATTAAAGTGGAGGAAATGCAGTTGAACTTAAGCTCCTTACTTAACTGGAGTCCTTTTTAGCAATGTGTCAAATTAATTTCAGAGTTTTTCATTAAGAATAATCTTAACCTTGATGTTAAGAAGAATATGTTTAGGAACAGAAGATGACAGAAAGACTGTGTTAAGTAGCATTTAAAATGTGTACCCTTCCTTCAATAAGGATACTTACTTTCAATTTCAGTGCCAGTTGAATGGTTTAAGTATCACAAAAGCATAAGTCTCATCTGTGTAATCAAGTGAGAGTACCAGCCATTTCCCCTCAACTCAGAGGACAGTCTAAAAAAAATTTTTTTTTTTCAGTGTCAGTAGTATTTAAACTCAGTGAACTTTGCTCACTTTACCAACTGTGAGTTTTGAAGTCGAGTTAAGAGTATTTCCACTTTTAAAAAGATTACCCCACAATTATATGGTGCAAATTTAAGTTAATAATTCTTTAGTGAACCCACAAAAGAAGTGACTGGAACTGACCAAAGAATTCCCTTCCTGGTGTGTGTTCTGGAAAAGCGGGAGGGTTTTTTTGCTGCTTTCTAGTGAATATGAAACTTCCTTCAGCTGTTAAGAAATGGGTTATCAGTGATTTCATCGTTAATGCAAGAGGATAAATTTCACTGGGTAGTTGTAGTTGTAGAGACTTGCAGATTCTGTGACCCTTTTCACTGTGTAATCAGGCTTAGCTGTTCTGACCAGTCCTTGCTGAGAGATGGGTGAAGTGGGAAGAATTGTACACAAGTTTACTGCGCTTGCATTGCTTTACAGTAATTCGGTCCTTTTAATTGAATTTATTTGCCACTTGTTTTGCCTCTTTGTAATTTCTAGAGCTGCTGAAGTATTAATCGTTTAGAACATTGCTAGGAAAAAAGCAAGGCAACTGTTTAATATCTTATAGGTAAAAGGCTGAGTAAGTTGTCTGAGTAAGTTGACAAATTTGTATTATAGGAATGTCAGCTTTTTTCCTTAGGGAGTGAAGCAAATTTAATTGTGCTTTTTGCCTCTTTCTCCAATAACCTTTGATCCTAGTTTTAGTACAGGGCTTGAGAATTCAATGATGATAATAAAGAATAAAGAACTGAATAAAGAACTTGATTAGGTATAGAATTCAGTCAAGGACCTTTATGAAAGCCTGGAAGGCAAAATAATGGCATGCAGTCCAGTGCTTACAGTTAACTGGAGAAGAAATACCCATTTTCTTGCTGCTTTAACTCTTTGTGGTGAAAGCTAATGCTTGCTGTTACATGTGCCTGTCTGAATGTGTTATTTCTTATGTGCCTTTGACACTAATTTTGTAGAACTATAAACAGTTTGACCCTTTTCTCAGTGGGTATAGTCTTCGCACCTTACCAGTTTTCAGAAGTTTCCTCTAAGTTGAGTATGTTAAACGTGTATTTAGAAACATACATATGAAAGAGTAACTGGGGCAGGGTGGGGAAAGAGGAAATAAAATAGCATTTGTGATCATCTTCTATGGATACCTGAAGAGCATAATGTATATAAAAATGTTTTGAATTCTAAGGAAACAACCCACTTGAAACAGCTCTTACGAAATTGTCAAGATATTTAAAAAATATTATGCAGATCAGCAAATAAAATTAAAACTTACTACTGGTTTGGTACTTGAACTACCTTGCAGAAAAGTAAACGGTCAGTGTTCCGTGACACTTCACAGCATTAAAAAAATAAAGTACGTACCAATTGGCTGAAGTGTTGTAAAGGATTATTCTTCACAAGTGTTTAAAGTCAAGCTGTTCTATTGATTTGTAAATGTTTTGTTGCACTCTGTTTTCAGGATCTAAAGCTTTTGACAACATTTTCTGGGCAATTTAGAGTAAAATCAGTAATTGGACGTTGTTCTACAAAAGTTATAGCAAATTATGTGATTAATTTTGATTTCCATCTACTGCAGCTCAGTGAAGGTAGATCCTCTCAAGGCAGATGTTTTCAGTATGATATTTCTGAAATACAGAATGATTAGAAGAATAATAATTTAAGACTTTGCACAATGTTGGCTTATAGAGGCTCACAGAGAAATTTGCGACAATGGAGATGTATAAAAAAAGATTGCAAGTTAAGCTGAAACGCTTCTTTTCTGATCCTTTCCTTTTCCTCGTTTCAGTCTGATCATATGAATTGTTTGAGACCATCTGGAGTGCCTTCGTATTTATTTTCATTTTAGTATGAATTCATCATTATTCAGGCCACCCAAGTCTTTCCTGTGGAAGTTATTGCTACTGCTGCTTCTGATAGCTGTTGTTGGTAGATAACACCAGTAGGAAAATCATGGTTCCTTAAGTAGCCATGGTAAAGGTTTGGGCAACAGGGACATGAGCACATAAAAGTCTTTGTTTCTGTTTTGATAGCCAAGATCTGTGATTTGTCACATAACGAAGCTTTTCTTTCAGGGGGACAAAGTGCTTCAGGAACACCACTGATAGTGAATACATTGAGGGAGAAATCTTTCTGTATTCTGCTAATTAAAATTAGGAGTTAGATTTGGAAGGTAATCATTCTTACATTTAAATGAAAATTTTTAAGTGGATTAAAAATTTTCAGTACATATTTTTCTCTTAAAATTAAATATCTCTTGGGAAAAATAGTCCACTACTAAGCAGAAGGAAATATTACTGATTACTTGTGCAAAATATGAAAGAAAGGGACGTATTTTTGTAGCTAGTCTAATGAAATTGGTTTTGAGTATTTAAACTAATGAATCCCTGTTTTAGATAATTCTCAGTATCTTTGTCATTTACCATGTTACAATGCTGTGATTTATAATCTCCCATCTTTTTATCAGGTCAGGAAGGAATGAGTCCAATACTTCCTTTTGCAAAGTATCTGAAACATAAAGGTGATACTATCTTGAGCAGTAGTTTTAGAAAATTTGTTTAAAAGGTCAAAAACACAAGAGGTTAAAAAGCAAGTAGTATGTTGCCTACAAAATATGATGTCATGGGATCAGAAGTGAAGAGTATATCAGAAGTATGTGCTTGCTTTAGTATCTCTAGGTATATTACTTCTTTATATAAAACCTCTATCCACCTCCTGAATCTGATCATTCTCTGAGATACAGAGATTGGGACTTTTTGATGGTGTGAACTTGAAAAGTCTTAGGATAAATATATATCATAGTGTATATTTTAAGTACCTTTGAGCTTGCTTGGTAACTATCAATACTGGTAGGATTCATAACATTTGTTTTATAACTTGCTGTAAGTGTAGATAATAACTGAACAATTACATTTTAATTAAAAACTGCAAAAATAAACGCCTTGCTAAGATGTAGGACTGATGTCATCTGTAAATATCACAATTAACAGCTCACATCAGTACAATGGCAGAAAATATTTTATGAATGATAAAACTGATGTGACCAAGCTTTCTATAAATATCTGACTAAGGAAGCTTGATGTCCTGTGTCTCAATCTCACATAGATATTCTGATGTCCTTCCCCAAGGGTCCCTAAGAATTTATCATCTCTCCCAGGGCCCAGGAGCCAGTTGAGAGCTATGCATCAGCTCAGAAAGAGAGTCTAAAAAGGGAAAGTGTAATTCTTTAGATCAGACTGAAGTGTAGCTGTTTGCGTTTGTGCTGATATCAGTGCACGCACACTTGAGAGATTGTTGTACCATTTCTGAAGGGAAAAAAAACTACAAGTTTAGTTTTAGGAAACTGGTAAATACCAGAGTTCAAGGATAACTTCACTGGAGATGTGATGAAATGTTTGCTGCGTGTAACTTCAGGCTGATTTTCAGTTCTTTTTAACTGGTGGATTGGGCTTACATTTCCTGTGCTGGGGGGAAGGGTTTTGGCAGTGTGCGTTTATTGCCAGCGAGTTTGGAATTCACAAGTTAAATGGTTTGATAACACAAAACCCTCTCGTATTTTTCAAAATGTTGCTTTACTGAATTTTTTCAGGCAAAGCATATGGTTTGACCAAAAATACTTGTGGGCAGGTACAGATTCCTGAAAATCAAAAATAGGCCATAAAAACATACAGAAACTATAGACTTGCTGGCTTCACAATGTTGGTGATTAGTATAAGCTGTTTGGCATAAATAAGCTTTCAAGTTCTTCTGTTCTGATTTAATGTCTTTTGTTTTGTAGATGAGTTCAGTGAAAATGTTGCGGTCACGTCTCAATGGGATCCTTTTCAGACTCATGTTTGAAGAGCACGTAAACAATATCAAACCTGACATTATGGCGGTTACACTGGCTTGCGAAGAGCTGAAGAAAAGTGAAAACTTCAGTAAGCTTTTAGAATTAGTTCTGTTCCTTGGGAACTACATGAACTCTGGCTCCAGAAACGCACAGTCTCTTGGTTTTAACATCAGTTTTCTTTGCAAGGTAAGATGGAGCTATAAAACTTTTAAGTGCAGATTGATGAAACTCGCTACACATGAGAAAGTGCCCTAAATAGGGAAAAACATTCAGTCAGTGTAGTTTACTGACTGCTTCTCCATTTTTTACAACAAATATACAAATACAGAGTAAACATTTCTGGGATGGTCCCTTGCTCTAGCTGTCTTTCTCAGGGCAATGGTGATTTAAGGCAGTTGTTTAATTGTAAGTCTGTTCTGAATCTTTCTGGAGTGTGGGAGCAGAACAGCTTTTTAGATTTGAATTTGTTCAACTATCATCTCATCAGCAGAATATACACAGAGCTCTGAGTATGTTAAATAGCTCTAGCTACTCATCTGTCGTCTCATCTTTTACCCAGCCATCCCTCAAGCAGTGTCACCGAAATAAGTACTTGGGATTAAAGATGGACATTGTTATCCCAGGTTTAACTTCACTTGTGGTGGCCAAATATGTGATGCAACTAGAACTTCAGAATCTATAGCAGTCAGGATTTAATGTGTAGTGCTTGTTTATTTATATGGTAGAATGTGTCTAAGGCATTGATCTGAACTAGACCATCTCAGTTTGTCAAGTACTTTTGAAATTATCTTTAAAATAAAGGGATGCAACATTTGTAAACAGATCTAAAAAAAACCCCACATAAATCTTGCAGAGGAATTTTTCAGTTATTTTTTGTTTGGTCTAATCAGAGGGTCTGGGTTTCAAGTGCCTTTTTGGACACCATGAGGAAATCTAATGTGCACCTCAAGGAGATTTAACCTTGTGGGGGAAGAGTATTTTAAATACAGAGCAAGTCTGATCTGCCATATTTAAGTAGAGAAGACTCTGCTTGCTGTAGTTTAATACGAAGGTGTTGCTAACTTCTAATAAAATAAAAACTATCATCTGAGAAATACTTTAATAGCTTTCGTTAAAGAGAGGCCAAGTTGAAGGATTTTTTTTTTTTTTCATAAATCTAGTGCTGCATTTTCATTCTGGTAGTAGTGAAATCTAAAGGGAAATGAATGTTTTAAGTAGAAAACTACTTGTTAATGAGGGGGAGGGGAAATAATGACTGTATGTGAATGGTACTGTAGCATAGCATAGATTTGAGAAGATATTCTGCACTCCAGGTGATAGATTTATGAATTGCCCTCAGTGCAAATCCCACAGATGTTGACACAGCTAATGTAGACTGACTAATCCTGCAAATTGTTCTCTACTCAACTGAGTAATTGCTGAAGCATAGCTATCTGTGCTTACAGCTAAATTCCATTTAAAATAACTGAGATAATCTATGACTATTTAAATCAGTCTTGCCCTCAGAAACAAAATCTATTTCAGTTTTTGTTTTCAAGACGTGTTTCTGAAGGAAGTGTGTTGGTTTTTTGGTTGTATTTTTTTTTAACCCTGCGAGACTAGAGAAAATGCATCAACATTCTCCCTAATAAAATGTCGACTGTGCTGTTGCTTCTAGGTACTAGGTATATTTTCTTATAAAGTGATGTCTAAAAATAAAATAGTCACAAAGACAGTGATGGTGGTTGGAGCAAAAAAGGTCTCACCAAAAAAACCCTGACATGAAATTGTATCACTAATAGCTCTAGCTATTGATTAAACCTTGTAAATTATCACTCCTAAGTTCCAAACTCAGAACAAGTCACTGAAAGTAATGGAAATGTAGGTAAGTTTCTCTGGATGGAGTGACATGTGCATTCTCTGCTATTTAAATTTATTGTTTATTACCTAAGTTAAAAGATATTTTCTGCTATTTAAAGCCCCGGTGTTCATTGCTTTAATTTGCCATTCTAATTTATATCAGATTAGTGTAATAATGTGTACTTTTGCAAGAGTCTTGTGGAGTTTTTTTCAATAGGTTTTGCACCTGAACTAATGCTTTAGTATCATATTTAGAGAAGTAACCTTCTACTCATTGATGTTTAGTTTCATAAACAAGAGGTGCTTACCCAATTCATATTTGCAATGATTTTTTAAATTACTCTTAATAATCCAAATTTATATTTGTTTAATGACTTTATGCATTCATTCTTTTCAACTGATAATTGCATTTGGTTTCTTTGTTTAACAGCTTTCAAATTTTGCCCTCCCATTTTCCACCCAAATAGTGAGATGACTTTACTGGCTTCATGTTATTAAGTAAGACTACAGTCCGACAGGCCTTTGTGAAGCGTTGTAAATAGTATAAAACATTAAATTGTATCAGGTGGCAACATCTTTTATAAGCACCAGGTTTCCTATCTGTCTACAGGCACTTACCAGCTTTATTACTTGATTCAAACAGTCTCAAAATTTAGGATTGTTGGTCAATAATTGGCCTTCACTGTGAAAATAAGCATTTCTGTATGTATAAGGATGGTATGGTAAGTGTATTGTCTTGTTTACTGAAATCTTCTTGTGAAGTCAGATATAACATGCCAAAGAAGATTTCTCCCAGTTTTTTGTTTTGCTACTTTTTTTTTTTTTAAGCAACTTGAGAATGAGAAGAGTTTCTTACCGGTTTTAGACAATAATTGCTTAAAGCAAAAACTGTTTCAGTAGGAGTTTTAAAATCAACTAAGACAATCTGGCTTAATGTTTTAAGATGTTGGTCATTTCTTTGTCTAAGTTTTTTTGACTTTTTTTGGTGACTCATTGTAAGATGCTTGATAGGACCAAGTCAGATATAAGTTACATAACAGTATTATCCTCTGAATATTGTTCTTTTGAAAGGTCTTTAGCTGTTATGTGAACAGAAATGACAATAAATATAGCTGACTTCACTCATATGTTTCGTTTTTAGCTATTCTTTACTGTATGTTGATGTTTTGCCTGAAGACAAGGATTTAAGTCTCTCAAAAAATAACCAGAAAAAATATTAGGATAAGGGGAATCTAACCAGTGCATATTTGATCAAAGATTTTTAAAAACTTAGAAGCATCAAGCCTTTAATTTGTGAGTTGTGTTTTTTTCCTCTTTTAGACCAGTGACTTAAACTGTCTTTAATATCAGTGGACTTTCTGCCCATGAGAAGAGAGCTTTTATTTTATTTTATTTTTTTGAGCCGACTGTCAGCAAGGTAGAACACATGTATTCTTCTAAATGTAGAATACACATAAAAATTAGAGTTGTTTTAATGATGAGATATCCTAATGCAATGAATTCACTTTTCAATAAAACCTCATTTTCGTATTGGGTTTTGGGTTTTTTTTTTGGTCATCCTTGAACAACCTTAAAGTTAATTGTCTGTTCAGTAGGTGTAGTACTTGCATTATATGATCTGAAAAAAAAGAAAGGGAAAAAGACAAGTATTGATCTGGGATAAACGTTTGGTTTTGTGAAGCAAATGTTCTCAAAACAGAGCTGGTCATTTCATACACAGAAATCTGTTATTGTGTAACAACTTCTATGAAAACATGAATTCAAACCTGTCTGGTCGTAGCTAAAAAAGCTCATGCTTGTGTAATAATTGCAAATCCTTAAAAACAGATTATCTCTCTGGATGTTATATTGCAGTGTATGATGTTATTGAAGAAAGAAATGACTTTTAAACAACCTTTGGCACACAACAGAGAACTTAATTTTGTTCAGATGAGAGAGACCAACATTCGAATTCATGCGCGGTACCAAGACTGGCGAGCGGTCTGATGCGTGCACAGAGCATTCCTGATTGCCAAGTGCTCTGTGGAAATATAAACGTGGCAGAAAAAGTCGTAAAGTTCAGAGAGGCTGCTGTAGTAATTCACTAACGATGAATCTTTTTACCAATTGTTGTGTTTGATTAATGTGTGCGCATGATCAAACTGCTATTCTGAGCTCTTATTGCAGCAGCTACTGTCTGCAGGAGGAGAGGAGAAACCTCATAGTTGTGTAAAGTTATGCTAGGCAGAAATTTAATTGATGCAAAAGAGGTTTGCTTTAGGCATATATAGAGTACAACTTCTGTTCTTTTTGTGGTGAATTAATACAGCGACTAACAGCGAGCATCCTCTGTTGTAATATAGCTTTTGCAATATTCTAGCTGGATGAATTTTGTATTTTATGTAATTAGTAATATTGTGTTACTCCTTGTTCATAACTCAAATAGTAAAGACAAGGTGGTTATCTAGTTGAGTATTACTGTCTAGTGTACATTTATTAGTTGTCTACCAGCCCCGTTTCTGTTAAGGTGGGAAAGATTTCTAGGAAATGAGAAGTTATTTAATGTCATAAAAATCTTTAGAAAGCTTTTTTTATAGCTATAGTAATCAAATGTCACTCTAGTGGTAGTTAAAACATATTTTTTTTTTTTCCCTTATTTGGCTGTCACTTTTAAGCCTTACACCTGAAAACCGAATCCAAAAGTACCTATTAAAAAAAAAAATATTCTGGAAGTGGGTTATGGTATGATTTGCATGTTTTAAATGCTTTACTGAGATACTACATGCTAAGGAGATTTTTGTTATATTGATGTTATTGCTGAGCTACAGACCTAAACATCATACTCTGTTATTACTTGATTTCAGTGAGTGTGCTGTTATGTTCTGTGTATATTAAGCTTTAATCCTTTCCCAAGCAATGAATCTGATCATATTGACCACTCAAATTGATGCTTCAACTTTCAGTGGGAATCTGCTTTCTGAAGCCTACACTGATCTGCTGATTATTATTTTGGTTTTGTTCTGGCCTATGTCCATACGTACCTAGAACTCAAGACTGAAAGGGATGTCATTTTTCCTTTTTTGCTCCCATATGAACCTATAATATTTAGAACCTCTAGAATATTTCTGTGTGTTTCTGGTTCAGTTGTCTGTTAAGATGTATTGAAGAGCCACTGTATTATTTTTTTAAAGTTGTAATCAATATTTACTGTGAACCTCTGCTCCTTTTATCATCTGTGAAAGTAACAAGTAAAAGTGCATGGCATGAAAAACAGCAGAGAAAAAACATAGAAAATTTTGCTCCACCCATATTTTTCTCTTAGTGTGCTAAATCAAGTAAGACACTTCTTTAGTTGAAAAGAGACTGACTAAATGTCAGCTGTCTCAGTTTTTTTTGTAAATGGCAGTCTTGTTATCAGAAACTAGATACTTAGTCTTGATTTTCTGTTTATTAACCTTTTAATGTAACAGAGGCCATTAAGTGTATTGTGTTTGTAAGGCTAGCATCTTAAACTTGACCTTTTCCAGAGCTCTTGCTTATTAAAGGACAATTTAGCTTTATGCTGAAGGGCAATAATAATACTATAAAGTTGATTTTATACTTAACATGGTGATACTTTTGATGTACTGCATGCAAAGTCCCGCACTTGGGACAGGCTTAAACTTCTGTGAAGGTTTTGTGTTGAGCGTGGGAAGTGACTCTGCAGAAAACATGGAGTCTGTCCTAAGTGGAAAAAGCTGAGTCTGTAGTGTGCCCTGGCAGCATCCTGGGCTTTATTGATAGGGGCATAGTCAACAGATCACAGGTAGTGACTTAACTTAGAATTTACTCGGCTGCACATGGAGCATGAAGTTCAATATTCGGTACAAAAAATCTTTGTTGATAAACTTGAGTGGAGGACCACCACGCTGGTCAGAGGCTGTAGCACTGAGGAAAGGCTGATGGAACTGCGCTTGTCTGGTCCAGAGAAACAAAGGTTTTGGAGAGGACCTGTAACAACCTCGCAATAACAAATAATTTACTATAAAGGTGGAGCCAGGCTTTGTAGCGAAGTGTACAGTGAAAGAATGAGACAGGCTGTAAACTGAAACCAGGGACGCTGTAAGTGGATATAAGAGAAAATATATTTCACTTTCTTAATACATAACTTTTTAATTAAAAATACATGTAATTGTTTCTTCCATAAAGTCAAAAATATGAAATTGCACCCAAGAATAAAAAGAGAGATGAAACAGAAGATTTGCTCTGAATAAAGTATGCTCTGTGAATATGGAGAATGTAAAGACACAACCATGCTGGTTTTAGCATCCAGTTCCCGTCTTTCATGTCTATTTTTGTATTTAAATAATACCTACTGAACTGCACTGAAAACCCACTTGTCTTCCTTAGTTTCTCGTTATATTAGTAGGCCTAGAACTTGATTTTTAAAGTATATATATTGCTTCTAAAGATCCAACAGAGCTATATGTTACAGAATGTGGTCGAGGGGTGTTTCTTGATTAGGCCAAAGAAGTGAATTTGACACAGTTGGTTAAGATCTGAATGAATGTTTACTTCAGGTTTTAAACAACTCAGCAGGTGCTAGTATTAACTCTTGTTAATATGATGTTACTGTTGCTGACAAAACATGTTTCTATTGTAATCTGAAGGCAAAATAATTTTGTCCATTTAGGAAAAAAAATGCTTTATCCACTTGATGTCAGAGAGATCAAAGACTGCAAATCCCACAGTTCTTGTTCACAGGCAAATTGAAATGTAATTTCTTTTTACCATGCAGATGTTTAGCCGCTAAATCTATGGGGGTTTTTAAGTTGGAAAAACTTATATATATGTAGCACGTTAAAACCTTTTAACTGCATACCATTATTGAGCATTGTTTAGTCTTTAATCACCGAGTTGGTATGAATTAAATTGCATTCTTAATTGCCTAAATACCTTATATTTTTAAAAGCCTGTTTTTCAGCTGCACTCATTTATTCTTAACAGGGTAATCCTTAAAGCCGAAAGGCCTGTATTAAATTGAACATCGATGGCAAGCCTGTCACAAGGATTATAGAATTAGAACTTCTAGTGATTTAGAGAATGAGAAAACAAATAGGAGATTTTACATGCACATTTATGTATTCTTCTTAAATAAATCCTTGATTTCATTTGTTGTATATGTTGTAGCTTGCTCTACTAGAGCTGGTGTAAGGGCTCTACTAGATGAGTTAGTAAAATGCAGTTGAAAAAAATATTTTCAGATAACCTTGTAATACTAATTCTCTATAGAAAGTGAAGTACACTCATCTTAAACTCTTGCATACACCTAATCTCTTGCCTTTGTACATAAGGAGTAATCTCTACTTCCACTAAATCTTCAATCAACTCATACGTTCATTTTTTCATGTCCGCATAAAAATGGAGAAACTAAATTTGGACTTCAATTCATTCTCTTAAGTTCACGATGTTCCTTTGCATACACACATGCGCTCTGCAATGGGGTTTAGCCACAGGTATATGTTCACCTGGAAATTTCCCACTAGGCCTGTTTTTTAACAATTATTTCAGAATTATTTTCTTGAAATAATAAACTGATTCTAGCAATTAATGCACTTAGGTTAATGGAGAACAGAGCGTCTTACCACCTTCAAGAGGACGAGTTCATTTCAGACCACTAGGAATTGCCTCTGCAGTTAAGAGGATAGTGAAAACATGCAATTACCTATTCCTTTGCACTGTGCACAATTTTCACATAGCTTTTTGTAAATAAAATCGGACATATTTTCTGGTTTGGATTCCAGTAAGACAAGATACACTTATTTCATGTGTCTATAAAATTTGTCTGAAAGTCTTTAGGATAAAGCAGCAGGGTTTAGATTTTGCTTCAATAAAAAATTGTGGATTTACGACAAGGAGTTTCTTTAACTTGGCTGGTAAAAGAGCAAATTCTGACTTTTAGCATGCTGTCCAGCTATGTGGCATTTCAGAGGGATTCCTTCAGAAATCTGGCAGTGGGAGGCATTGAAGGAATGAACTGAACTGTGTTCTGTTTCATCTCCGTTCGCAGCCATTTATTATTTGTTTTTTTTAATCACAGTGAGCATGCTGAACTGATGTTGCGAAAATCTCAGAATGTTATGGACTGTCTTCAGGTTTTGTTCTCAGCAAAATTAAGTATTCTTTAAAAAATACAGCATACGGATGGATCCCTTCCCAGATATAAGTCTGAGATTATAAAGAGTTGCAGAGATTTAATTTTTTAAATAGTTTGTTTCATTTTCAGACAACCAGTGTATTTAACTTTTTGCTAATGACTTTACATCTGCAATATTGACTTTATTTAAACATTTTACTAAAAAACCAAAAGGTGATATTTTTTCTGTTTTTCTCCTGTGTCCACTTTTTAGATTCGAGATACTAAATCATCAGATCAGAAAACTACCCTGTTGCATTTTCTGGCAGAAATCTGTGAGGAGAATTACCGGGACATCTTAAAATTTCCAGATGAATTGCAGCATGTTGAGAGAGCAAGTAAAGGTAAGCAAATAGATAAAACACCTAAAGGTAATGGTGCTGTGCTTTGATGTTAAATACTTCCAAATTTCATTTGAGATTGTAGGGTTGAGTAACATCTAAGCATTGATAATCCACATGGATTTTGCTCTTCTGGTATTTATTGACCTGAGTAAAGGTGAGGAGGAAAAAACCAGTAATAAAGTAACTTTTCTTCTGAAGCAGGTTGTGGAAATAATACAGCATATTTCGGTGAAGTATTTAAAAAATCACATATTAGAAGTTGTGTGAGCAGTGTAATGATGATGATCAGTTTACTCTTAAGTCTTTGCTGTCTTGTTGCTTGAGAGTGAAGACCCGTGAGTGTGTGTATGTGTACACACACAATATGTTCCTCTGTTTTAACATTTGATTTAACACCTGAATATAGAGCAGTAAATTTGCTTTCTGAAGCTCCCAGACTGTATATGAAATAGATAGTTTAATTATACTGTATAGTCTATGATTAATACCAATTTTATTCTTGGTCAGTCAGCAGTATAGCCCTGTCAATGTGGTAGAAAACATAATCCATTTGTTGTTGGGTGTCTTTTTGTATGAAATACGCCGTGCTGCGAGGCGCCCTTGTTGCTGAGCTCTGGAAGGCGAAGGCTGGGTAATAATAATGGTTGATCAAGATAGCACAAACTGGTTTATGTTGACTGGGCATGCTGATTCATCCAAAGATAAATACTTGGGGGAGCACAAGAAGATGAAGGGAAAGAGAGAGGAAAAATAAGTTGGATACTTGTTTCTGCTAGCTCTGTCCAGGTTTTCTCTTGGAAGTTTTTGTCTCCTTGTTTCAGTGTTATTAGCCAGTGTGTCTCTGTAGTGCAGTGGTTAGCTGTTACATAAGGTGGTGTTTTTTTTGTCGTGGTGTGTTGTTTTTTTTTTTTTTAGGGCATTGTTTTCTATCACTTTGTCCTCTTCTATCTCAAACTTGGTCTAGGCAGAGCAGAAGTCTTGTTTCCCCAGGTTCTTAGGAGATAGTTCATCAGTCAACCTAACCTTGCTCTTGTTTCATCTCCGACATATTTACAGATTTATATGATTGTCTTTGTCATACTTTTTTTCACTGTTTCTCACACGTTACAAGTACCTTTCATGTTTTTCTTTTTCCTTCCTGTATGTAAGCTAAATTTTATTTGTGTCGCTTAAATGTCTCCATGCTTCACTTTGCTCTTTGCTGATGAATGCTTCACTGGCATGAATGCCTCTTGATGAGATGGAACTGATCTGTCTATTTAAGGGTGAGGATGTTATTGTGTTTTAAGGCAGTATAGAGACTGAAGAGGTAACTTGTACATTACTGTCTTGAATGCACCATATATATATATATATACATATACACACATGCATATATAAGTAAAGATGCATGCTTAAACAGCATACAACTGGCTGCTTGTATCTGGGCACTACTGGGCACTACCGTGGATATTACACAAAGAATTGTTACATTTATTATCAACTTTGCTGTTTGCTGTTGATGTTTTTTTTCCCTGGTCTCTGATACGGAGTCAGAGAACTTCCTCAAACTGATCTTTCTCCCCACCCCTTAACTTGCCCAGTAAGTGTCACTGGTCTGGCCAGTGCGTTCACAAGAGTAACAGTGATTAATTTTTTTTTTTTTTTTTTTTTTTACAAATATTTTGTCATCTTAGATAAATTCCAGAAATGTTTTCTCCCACATGATAGTTGTTTTCTGGAAGTGTTTTTTTAAGCTTAAAAAAAAATAAAAATTCTCTTGTTAAATTCTTTACAAAGCCTTATGGTTTACCAGGCACATTGATGATCTTTTATCAGTTTTCTCCTGGGGCTAACACTTTACCCTGCAGCTTTCAGATTTTTGTAGCTTGATTCAAAGCCTCTGATATTCTGTAAGTTGACTTGACAAATTAAACAAAAAGAGTTAGTAAAGTTTATTTAAGCTACAGCATCCAGAAGAGAGAAGGCGTATTAATGGGAGCAAAGTCACTAATAATCCTGATGCTTGGAATATATAAGAAAAAGATTTTATTGCAGTTAGGTTTGTTTCATTCTGCAAGATAAAAGCTCAGTAAGTTGCCTATAAACAGTGCTGACTTCTTATCAGAAGCATAAATGACTGTTCATTTTCAATGACCTAAACTTCCCTTTCAGCCCTTCTTTAGTTTCTGTTACAAAGCAGATTTTTGGCAGAATAAACATGATTTGTGCAACTTGCTTCAGCTGTTCCCCATGGTACTTTCTGATTTTTGTTTAATTGTAATGTTCATCTGCTCTGTCGTGTGTGGTCACTTTTTTCCTGTGTAGGATGCTAACATGCTTTGTGTGGAAGGGAAGATGTTAACTTTCCATTTATTGTTTGGTGTTTTATAAACCAGTGGCTTCAGGAATGGATAGTTAGGTTTATTTTTCCTGTAGGAGGATTATTTTGGAATGAAATAGCTACAGATACAGCTTAGATCTACCGGCAAATATTATCTCTGTATGAATTTTAAATAAGGAAATATGAGCAAAACAGATGACAGTCTGATTTCTTGAGATGTATGCTTCTGACTTTTTAGGCAAAAGGAAGCCACATAGTTTGAACTATATATAAAATGCAAAATACAAGACTTACCACGTTCAACTTTGTTTAAATCTTGGGTGCATTTTCTCAGTTCCATTTAAATAAAAGGAAAGTATTTTTTTTACTTTAATTTTTATATAAGAATAAAGAACCAACATCTGAACAGTGGATATAAGATTTTTTTTTTAACAAATAGCAGATAAAGCATAAAACTGGATTTTAATATGAAAAGGTCAATGGGATTATATGAACTGCCCATGCATGTACTAAATTCTTCAATAATCTGATATTAGGTATAATAAGATACTTAATCTTTTTAAAGATGGAGGATCAACATAGAGGTTTATGAAAAGCAAAAATAAATTAGGAAACAGTTTTATTCTGGAAAGTATAAGCAAAGGTCAAACTGATTAACTATCAAGACATTATTGGAAAGGCTTTCCTTCTTATTAGAAGCAGACTGTATGAAAGGAAGACCGATAAAACAAATTCACAAGATTATGACAAACTGGATGCTTTGATGGAAGTGATATTCACTCACTTTCCCCCAGTCTGCAGTGTTTTCCTCTTGTTCCCCTACAGTTGAAACTATGCAAAGCTTTTATTCATCTTTCTACCTTCTTCACTTTGCTTATTATTCCAGTTGCTGTTTTTCATGGTATTTGCTCTTACCATTTTATGATCTGTGATTTTATTAAACACGTGACAAATTCCCATCCCTTTCTGCAGGTTCAGTCAAACACAGACTTCAAAACAAAACCAAAAGGTACCTTAATAAAGTCAGATAACAAGTTTGGGATTTGTAGACAAAATCATATTGTAACATTACAATTCAGAATTCCTTAGAAAATATACATGTTTTTTAGCTGGAAACTCCTCTGATTGTCAAGCCTCCTGGAAACGATACAAAGAAATACGTAATACATAAAATTAAGAGGAGGAACATTACCCATATATTTTATAACAACTGAATTTCAGATCTTAAGAGCAAGAGTTCTTGCTCCTTTAAGATCGTAGTTCATGGTTGAAACATCGTGCCTGTATTTCAAATAAAACATAACTGTGTCTTTATCAGTTGGATGTTGTGTTCAGTTCCCCCCAAACTTAACAGTTCTTGACATACTCAGGTTACCTGCCTGATTTGTCTACCGAGAGGCACTAGATTGCGTAGAATCATATGAAATTTTGTGAGCTCGTGTTGTCTCCCTAGTGTTGACTTAAGAAATGAGTGGACATAGAATGTTGTTGTCTGTGCTTGGCCATTGGCCATTCAATGTGTTTTCCTTACCTGTTGGATAAGGTGAAGTTATACCTTGTATGTATAGAGACAACATGGATTTTGAGGTTAGCTGAGCAGTTACGAAGGACTCTCAAGATCAGTTCAACTCCAAGCGAAGGGCTGAGCTTAACTGTGAATTCAGTACAGATTATGAAGTCTGTTTCCAGGAATCATGAGGGTTTTTTGCAGTGCTTAACGTACAGAATTCTGTGCCTGATATAAAGTTATACCACTTAATAATTCTTTTAAAGTACTGTTAAAAGAAGCACAGCATTCTGAGTAAAATCAAGTGAAAGATGCCTTAGGGGAGATGAATTATGTCTGTGTAGTAGACTAGAAAGTACTAATAACAAGAGTACAGATTTCTCAAGTCATGTTGACACAAAAAAATTTATTTCTTTAATTTGCAAGCATATGGTTCTGACGGTTGAGGCATCTCTCTAGAAAGGACATTAGCCATCAGAAGCACTGTGGAATGCAAATATGTATATACTTAATATATTACTAAAATACGCAAATACGAATTTTTAAATTCTGTACAGGTACTTCACTGTGATTTAATGCTATAATTTTAGAGTACGGAAAATATTTTAAAACATTGTGTGCCATTGGTGCTTTGAGGTATAGCAATTTAAAACATACTCATAAGTAGCAGTCATTTTTCTGTCAAACCAAAGTTTTATAGTTTGTTGCAGTGGAAGAAACTGTGTTTTAACAAAGAGATCTGCAGTATTTTCCACCTTGCACAGTTTAAATTGCTGAAACAGATTTTGCCCAATCTGGCACATCAGTGGATATAAAATAGACAATGCCTTCTGGCATGAGAAATTTAATGCCTGCATCTGTGACTTTTCTCTCCATAATAGAATCCGAAGTTGGCATTTTGCATCATAATCAAAAGTCAATCTTGCACTGTATAGTGACTTCTATCATTCTTTTCATTCGAATAAACTGCAATATTGAAATGTCAGAAACTCTCTCAATGTGTTTTTCTGAATGTGGTAAATACACTGTTAGGTCCATCAAATGCTAGAAGACTTTTTTCTCTGGTAACGCTCCTGTATTTGCATATAGCATCACCATATTGACGGTAGCTTATGCGTTATCTCATTAGAAGTTTTTTGACAGACATGTTCTCCTTCATTGGCAAGTATC